ACACTCATTGGATATCGCGTGTCGCGCGCGACGAACATCGCGCTGGTGTGCCGGAGGCATAAAACTGTACCCTCATTGGATATCGCGTGTCACGCGTGACGAACATCGCGTTGATATGCCAGAGGCATTACCCCGGATCTACAATAGGGTTTTAAGCCTTAAGCCATAAAGGCCCGTCTACAATACACGGAGTAAGAAGTAAGAGTAAGAAATTGACCAATCACAGTCGATTATTCTTCTCTAGTCGTCAACTTTAACGCTTAATATCTCGGTTAGCGGGGCAGAGCGACGCTTTTTTCTGCCAGTCTTTCATTTTATGGAAAAACGCGTCGAATGAGTATAATTTCATCGATTTTTGAGGGGATTACTCTCCATTTGATCTTTACCAAACCTCAAACTGTGCAGAGAACAGACTTATAAAACATATAAAAATCGAAAAAAACGTTACCACTTTCTTCCCGCCCTGCATCTTCAGTTGATAGAAATGTCGAGTACAATATATTAGTCTCTGCATTTAATAATTTTACCAATACTTTCTTTTTTTGCACAGATCTTGCACATTTTTCGGCCGACGACATTCTGATAACGAGGTACGACGTCACTAGCCAGTATCCAGTCATTTAGGAACGCTTGTCCAGTGCAGTATCCAGTATAATGGCGGCCACTGGATACTGCACTGAAACGAAATGGGAACGCACCCTAGTTTTCAGTACTGGCAGCAAATTTTGGAACACTTCCTCAGACTACGTTCCAAAACTTCGGCTCGTATTCAGAACGCGCTTACAACGATGTTAGCACGCTATATACTATACTTTACGTCACGTATATTATAGAATTTCAGAGATAAAAGTGCACTTTTATCGATAAAAGCGCGTTCTGAATACGCCTTCCTCTCCAAGGAAAATTTTACTCGAAATATATAATACACGTGATGTATACTATAGCATATAGAGTAAAATCTTCCTCAGAGAAGACGTTTTGGAACGTAGCCTCGGAATGTTTAGTTTATTTTCTAGGGACATTTTGATAAGAGGGATGAACTGTCTCATAGCGTTTTCGGCCCGATCGGGTTTGCACCAACCTTGGTTGGATTAATCTTTCCTATTGGTTGACGTCACCCGTTCTACCAATAGGAGAGCACAAAACGCCATTAATCCAACCCAGGTTGGTGCAAACCTGGCCGGGCCTAGAGTCCTAGATTTATCAGAGAGGGGCAACCGGTGTTATGCATTCTGATTCGCTGTTGCAATCTGACCAATTGCGTGACTTGGCAGCCATTTATAGTACTAGCGACATATTTCTATTTCATTTTATTCTACACATAAGTCTGGATCTACAATAGGTGTTTTAAGCCTTAAGTCGTAAGAAATTGACCAATTACAGTCGAATCCGAGAAGAATAAGCGACTGTGATTCGCCCATTACTTATCTTAAGGCTTGAAACCTTATTGTAGATCCGGACTAATCCTACACGTCTTATCTTGTTTGACATAGTTTAAAGGCAGTTTCATAGCATTTCGGTCATGTTTAGTACTCTCCTTAGTACCTTTGTCATACTGACTTAAGCCGGTTGCGCTTCTCTGATAAATCTAGGACTCTAGCCGGGCCGAAAACGCTATTAAACTCACTTCTTTTATGTCATGGCCGATGCGAAGCGAAATAGAGCAAGGTAGAGTTCATGGCGACAATTGGCGACCACAGATGGAAAGAAGATGAAAAGAAGAATATTAACATGGCGACTTGTGCGGTAAATTCAGTAAATAGGGCTAGTCGCGCCCTATCGAGGTTCTTTTACGCCGTGGTTGCACGGTGAATATTGTGCATACAATTCGAGGAAGCTTGGTGCAGTTACCGTGACGTCGAGGCCGCGTCCTTCGCACGTGTTCACTGAATGCAACGCGATTACGCGATGTCGGTCAGTTACGCTAGGATGAAGTCGTGCCACGAGGCGTCGTCACCAACGTCATCAATATCGCCAATGTCGCCGTCGACGACGACACCAACGACGAGTAACGCATTGCCCAGGCGTGCCGGCGATGAGGAAGATTGGCAGATGCAGCTGGCTTTCTGCAAGCCTCGACATAACGCCACGATCGAATACGTCAATTGTATCAGTCAGACTTGGCGAATGAAGGAGCGGGTACGTACGTGTACCGAATGCTCGATACATTCATGATCGGTTAAACGTACGACCGGGTAATTATGCCCACTAGAGCACGACTGATTCTGCATCACTGCATACATATGTTTTTGTTTTATTAGATGAAGACAGTGAGTGTCGCTCTGGTGTTGTGCCTGAACGTTGGCGTTGATCCTCCAGATATTGTCAAGACACAACCATGCGCCCGTCTCGAATGCTGGATAGGTAGCCAAACTTGACGCTTCTCTAGTTTATTTACATTCTTTCCTCCCTACCGTTATGTGATTTTGCGATTTTGAGGTTAGGCATGTCAAGCATGCCAAATGATTCAGCCTGCTGACTATGGCATACCAGACATACGCGATATGCCAATGTTTCTGCAAGCATCCACTAGATCGGGATATCGTTTGCATTGAACAATCTTTTTATTTTATCAAAATTATTAATAAATAACAGATTAAAAAATTTTTATGTATGTATAACTAGTAAGAAAAAAAATTTTAGGTGATACAATAAAGGAAAGTTAGAAAGAATCAAGTATTATGTAGCGGTACATAAAGATAGATTTATAGAAAAAACATTTAAATTTGATATTTTACTTATAATTTAAAATGTACTAAGAGACTAACTTGTAATGTAATTATACAATTGGTTTTCAATAATAAACATATAAATGTAATATAAAATAGAAATATACCTAGGTATGTAAAAGCTTCAATATCTATTTATCATGTATACAAAACATAGAATAATAATTTTTGCTTCCTTATGAAGTATTTGTAAAATAATTAAGATATGGATAATAACTGATATCAAACAATATATAACCATGTATAAATTATGAAACAAACATACTTTTCCATGTTTAGAATTCTATGATAATTTGGATGCAAAATTATCAAGATTGATATCTTTCCAGATCCTTTGTCAGTGAGTCCTCAAAAAGCTCTTGAAACTATAGGTTCAAATTTGCAAAAACAGTACGAACGATGGCAGCCAAGAGCTCGCTACAAACAAAGTTTAGATCCAACTGTAGAGGAAGTTAAAAAATTATGTACATCTTTAAGGCGAAATGCCAAAGAAGAAAGAGTTTTGTTTCACTATAATGGTCATGGAGTACCCAAACCTACTACTAATGGTGAAATATGGGTATTTAATAGGGTCAGTACAGATTCAAAATGAATGAATTTATGTCCATTACATATGACGTAATATCTATATTAACAATGTGTGCTTTTATAGACATATACACAATACATTCCACTGTCGGTATATGACTTGCAGACTTGGATGGGTGCACCTAGTATTTATGTATATGATTGTTCCAATGCCGGTATTATAGTAGAATCTTTTCAACAATTTGCAGACCAACACGAAAAGGAGTATGAGGTAAAATAATATATAAATTTTCTTAAAGATTCTAAATGTTAATAAAGCCTGTGAATGTAATTATTGAATAAGATTGTGCTTCACAGATGGAAAAACAACAAAATCGTGCGACTGGAGTGACATGTCCTGCAGCACCATGTTATAAGAATTGTATCCAATTAGCAGCATGTGCGGCTAATCAAATTTTACCTATGAATCCAAATCTACCTGCAGATATATTTACATCATGCCTTACTACACCCATAAAAATTGCAATACGCTGGTAAGAACTTTTGGCATAAGTAAAAAATATCTATGTATTCAATATATTTACATTTTGTATAAATATACATATATATGTATAAATATATGTAATAGATATTTTTTCTTTTACATAGGTTTGCCATGCAGCCTACATCCAAATTGATTCCCAATATATCGCTTGATCTTATTGACAAGTAATATATCAAATTATTAAATTTCATTGTTATATAGAAAGAAATAATTTGAAAAGTATCTTCGTATATGCATGCACGTACATGTTTTAGAATTCCTGGACAATTGACCGATAGAAGAACAATGCTAGGCGAACTTAATTGGATATTTACTGCCATTACCGACACAATAGCATGGAATACCTTACCAAGAGGTAAGAGATTTGAGCTACAACAGGGTTGTTAGCGGTCGGGGAAATCAGGGAAAACCAGGAAAAGTCAGTGAAATTAAAAAGTGGTCAGGGAGAAAAGTCAAGGAATTTATTAACCTAAGATAAAATTAAATTACTGTAAAATTCTAAGTTTAATTAAACGTCTTTAAAAATTATGAAATAGAATTTTTTAAATTTTTTAAGAAGCAATGCAAATATTTTTTTTATTTTAATTTTGCATGAACTATTTGCAGAAAACCATTAACAGACATTGTTAAAAAGAAAAAAAATTTAACTTTGTAAAAGTCAAAATATGTATATATTAATGATGAACATTTCGAAATTAATTTTTAATTAAAATTATTTAAAATAATTAGAACGTACAGTGTTTTAATAAAATGATTAATGTCTCCTTAAATATAAGGTCTAACTATGAATATGGACCAAAATCTCAATACACAATGTGCAAAACAAAGATACATGTATATCCGCCGTTTTCTGTAATTCATTTGTTTTTTAACTTGTCATATATCAGTTATATGTTCCACTTTAAAATGTGACCGGGAAAACTGGGGAAAGTCGGAAATTTTTTTTCTTTTTTGCTAACAACCCTGTACAAGTTTCATCGACGCAAAATAAAAGTATAATTATAATAATTATAAAAATATGTATAGATTTGTTTCAAAGGTTATTTAGACAAGACCTATTAGTTGCCAGTCTGTTCAGAAATTTCTTGTTAGCTGAGAGGATACTTCGTTCTTACGATTGTACACCAGTTTCTTCCCCGAAATTGCCGCCGACTTATCAGGTAAAAAAATTGGTTTTTATTATACATCTATAAAGAAATTTCTTTGCTAAAACTTTGTTTATATGTGCCAAATTTTTTATCATTCTTTGCTCTTAAATATGTAGAAAGCAAAATTTTCCTATTTTTCTAGCACCGTATGTGGCAAGCTTGGGATATGGCGCTTGACCTATGCTTGGCACAATTGCCAATGGTTTTGGAAAATGAAGATCGATACGTGCATTCATCATTTTTTGAAGATCAACTCACAGCTTTTCAAGTGTGGCTCAATTTAGGATCAAAAAATCGTAACCCACCTGAGCAGCTTCCAATTGTCCTCCAAGTGCTATTGAGTCAAGTTCACAGACTAAGAGCGTTAGAGCTATTAGGACGTTTTCTTGATCTCGGTCCATGGGCTGTGAATCTAGCACTTAGCGTCGGTATCTTTCCATATGTTTTAAAATTATTGCAAAGCAACGCCAGAGAACTTCGACCGCTGCTCGTTTTTATATGGGCAAAAATTCTAGCGGTAGATAATGTGAGTTCTACACTTGCGTGTTATTATCCATATAATACACTAAATATAAATTAAAATTTAAACGCTTGTTATGTTTTAAACAATGACAGTAACGGTAATATACAAGCTTAAATTAAGTGACAATTTTATTAATAAAGTTATTTCATATATACATATATTCGAAACGTTTCGACTCATACCATATAGTAGTCCTCTTCAGTTTTTACAGACATTAAAATATAGAAACAAATTAAATTAAAAATAAAAAATAAAACCAACGAGTATCACCGTCAGTTAAAAAAGTACTGCATGGTGTATAACGCATAGTGCAATGTAGTTAAAAAGAGTCATGATTTAATCCAATAATGTCACAATTGTATCTTCAATATTAGTAATAATCCTCCTTTTATTCGCTCGGTAACGAAAAAGGAATGCGTCACATGTGAAGTCAATAATTAAAAAGAGAAACGTCACGACTAATTAAAATTAAAAGTTGTGAGATGTATAAAACGCTCTAAGGCACATGCTATCTCTGTGAAAATAGATCTATTTCCAACCGTCACAGAGATAGCATGTGCCTTGAAGCGTTTTATACAACATCTCACAACTTTTAATTTTAATTAGTCGTGACGTTTCTCTTTTTAATTATTGACTTCACATGTGACGCATTCCTTTTTCGTTACCGAGCGAATAAAAGGAGGATTATTACTAATATTGAAGATACAATTGTGACATTATTGGATTAAATCATGACTCCTTTTGACTACATTGCACTATGCGTTATACACCATGCGGTACTTTTTTAACTGACGGTGATACTCTTTGGTTTTATTTTTTATTTTTAATTTAATTTGTTTCTATGTTTTAATGTCTGTAAAGACTGAAAAGAACTACTGTATGAGTCAAAAAGTTTCGAATAGTATATATGAAATAACTTTATTAATAAAATTGTCACCTAATTTAAGCTTGTATATTACCGTTACTGTTATTGTTTAATATTACACTGTTATACTTTATATGTGTATAAATTCTAATTTTAGATATAATTCTGAATTGCAGACTTGCCAAGCAGATCTTGTACGCGATGGTGGTCATAAATATTTCTTGTCTGTGCTGCAGGATACTTCTATCCCGGTAGTTTATATGTTATGTTTAATTTTATACGCTAACCACACCTGAATTATAACGGCTAAAGTTTCTCGTAACGAAAGTACGTTTGATAATGATTTCAGAGTGAGCACAGGACATTAGCCGCGTTTGTGTTGGCCAGTATCGTAAACGATTACCGGCCGGGTCAAGTGGCTGCAAATCAGGGCAGTCTCGTTTCAATATGCTTAGAACAATTAGGAGACACAAATTCTTTGTTACGGCAATGGCTTTGCTTGTGCTTAGCGCGGCTTTGGCATAATTTCGATAAAGCAAGATGGTGTGGCGTCAGGGACATTGCTCATGAAAAATTGTTCACCTTATTGAAGGATCCTGTTCCAGAGGTTATATGACTAATTGTTCATATATACATAAATAATTAAATTACGTTCACTATGTATGCACACACGTACGCACACATTCGCGCGCACGCGTAATAATTGCGTATATCTGTGATGAATTTGCAAACTACTAAATTTTAGACGCGTGTAAGAAATTTTATTTTGTTGTTACTCCTTATAACGCTATTTTACAGAGCAAGAAAGGAGTTTATATATATATTTTAAATTTTTAATATGAATTTAATAATATGAATTTATGATTGTGATAAAGAGGAATTAATTCCTAAAATTTTAAGGAAATGTTTGATGCAGGTCCGGGCAGCTAGCGTGTATGCATTGGGCACATTTATAAACAGCGTTACGACCAGGAGCGAACACGCGAATAATATCGATCAAATTATCGCTATGACACTTATTAATACAGTTTCTCACGATATGTGTCCATTGGTTAGAAAAGTAAGTTAGATTGTGATTTGGAATTGGTAAACATTGGCAAATTGCTGACAAATTATTATGAAATTGTCTATGCAGGAATTAGTTGTGGCTCTACAATGGATGGTGCTACATTTTGAAAATTCCTTCGTTACGCTAGCCATGGCTGAAGAGAATAGTCGAAAGGATCTTGTTGTAGAAACTTTATCCCCATTCAGCGGTATGAGACGCATTAGCTCGCGCGATAGATTGAAAATGTTGTCACCCAACAATACGTACACCGTAGATACGACCGATGGATTTGGACCACAGGATCGCATCAAAAGAGTATCGTCTTCATCGTCTATTAGCAGTCTAGGTAAGGAATGCCGAGAGATTTTTGGGAGAAGTCAATTAATACCTTCTGTCTGAACACTGAATCGAATAGTTACCTGCATTGATTCTTTCGTGTGTCAGGTAATAATTGGGAGTTCGTGAGGAAACCTTGCGAGTCACTTGGTAATAATGATTAGAAGTTTCGTTGCATGCATCATACATAGTTTATGCTTTTTATTTTTGCAATTGTGCAATTTTCACCGATAGAGTGCTTTTTGCATAGGCTTTGTATAATAGCAATATTTTTTTTTTTTTCATTAAAATAACTTTACAATAGCACGACATTTCATATGAATTTTATGAAATTGTTTATCGCAGGTCACAGTTCTCTTGGGAACTTACCGAGTCTTTCCTATGGTAGTGTGTATATGAAATTATGGCATGGATTGTGTAATCTCGACAATGATCCTCATCCAGTGGTCGCTGCTATGTCTCAAAAAGTTACTAATCACATTCGTAATAAGGTATTAATATCTAAGGTGTTAAGGTCTTAACATTGAAAGTTTAACTGTATAGTTATTATCATTAAAAAAATTTTAGGTGAAAGCATCTTCCACCCCTAAAGAGGTAGTTGAAACAAAAATTTCCTCTTCATTATCTCTTCCGCCGTCTCCGTCAAATCGAACTGGTTATTTGAGGTTGGTTAAAATTTTTTTTGTATAAAACATTTTGTAATTTCAGTCTTATTCTAACAATTCCTTTTACATGTTTACTATAGTAAAGGGGAATCACCACCGGCTGTCAACTCTGGAACAGATTTGTTGCGTTCTTCGAGAGTTTTAACGCATGGTAGCCGTTCGAGGAAACCTGTTCCTAATACAGTAAGAATCAGTTGTTGATTTGTTTTTTTCTAACGTTAACTTTTTTAACGAATTCAAGTGACAATAAAATATTAGATAAATGTAAATTGTTTAAATTCTATTTTTCAATTTTATTTTTACAATAAATTAAAAAATTATTTTGTGTACTTGTTAAAATATTGTTAATGAAGAATCGGCCTATTTATAATATCCTCTTATAATTTTAGATATCTGAAGAGGCAGACGAAGTACCTGGAGCTAAAACTCCATTGACTACCTCCCAATTTGTCGAATGGAGTTGCGCGCAATTTGCTCAGCCGGTTAGTTTAGAAGACGAAATGGACGATGTAGAAAGCAGACCATATCTCGAACGAGAATGGCGGTAAGAAACATTTAAACCTTTATTCTTTCTCTCTAACACTAGTTCTCTAATTTTAAAATGAATTCCCATTAAGTTTTTGCGTTTTTAATACGAAACGTACATTACACATCGATTATAATCGCAGATTTATACGTAACGCAAGGCAAAGACAAGATGCAAGAGAGGAACAATTGCGTGCACCGCAGAATAAAATAGAATCGCAAGTGTATCATACGAGATGTTCTCAATCACCTCAAGTTCTGGTTTTTCATCCATTTGAACCACATTTGGCCGTGGCGCTGAAAGATTGCTTCGGGTATTTGAATTTTCTTATCGTAACAAATATCTGTTATTTAAAATACAATAGATAAGCATATAACGTAGGTATAGAGAAAGACTTTCTAATTAACACTTGTTAATAATTGTTTCAGCATATGGGATTATCAAAATAGCACAAAGTTGACTTATTGTATGAGTTATGGAAACAAAGTAAAATCGCGCATCACAGCACTTGAATTTATCAACTCTCATGACTTAACTCTGCTGATGGCAGGTTCTGATGATGGTTCCGTACAAATCTGGAAGAATTATAGCGGTACGATTAGCCGCGATCCGATTCTACTCACAGCTTGGCAAGCATTGGCTGACGTACAACCCGCAACCAAGACTTCTAGTGGTATGTATAGAGAGCACACATATTCGAGATTCTGTTATAAATTTATCTCATAATCTATTGTAACCGCTGTTTTAGATTTTAATAATTTTTCACATCATTTTTCCTATATTATGTCATTCTAAAAATAATCCTGTATATTTTTTCGTACTATACTATCAGCGAAGTATAGTCAATAATATATTTGCAGTAACAGCACGACTCGTTACAAAATGGGAACAGAAATCACTTACTCTAGCAGTAACGGGCGACGTCCGTATTGTAAGACTCTGGGATGCGGAAACTGAATTGAAGAAGCAAGATATTCTAACAGGTGCCGATTGTTGTACCACATGCATCGACGTTGATGGCACAGGTTGGTTGTTAAAAAAAAGGTTTTTTTTCCTCGATGTTGAAAGTTTTTTAATAAAAGAACACACAATTCTCATTTAAGGGTGCGGCCACTTGACGTTACAAATGCTTCGAAACTTTCGATTGACCAATCGGAAAAAAGAATTTTACTAACTAACCAATCAAAAAATGCTTCAAAGCATTCGTAGCATCAAATAGACCATAGCCTAAGTCCAGTCACATTTAATTAGAACAGAACTTGTAAACAAGTTTACCTCTCGTCTAACAGGAGATTCAAATATTAATTAATTGATAAACAAGATAGCAAGAGAGTAACAAAATTTCACAGTATAACAATAATCTTAATATTTAGTCAATTAAACAGAGATCAATTCTAGTACTTCGTACAGAGACAGATTGATTATTCTAAACTTATCTGAAACTAGAAAGTTATCTAATATCGCCGCTGTAAGGCCTCGCAATTAACACAACCGTTTGGTACCAAGATCCATAGGAAAAAGGAGCGAGCAATAACGATGTTCTAAACTTTAGACAGATGAGTAACTTTCGAAATAAGTGCCATCTCTTTCGATTAGTTTAATGCAATTACTAAGCGATCGATAATATAGTTCACATTCTCAACACTCCTTAAGCCATAAGTCACACTACAGGCTCCCGACTCTGACTCCCGACTTAAAGTCGATCGAATAGAGTGATTTCTATTCTCGAGTCGGCAGTCAGAGTCGGCTGTTGCCTTGCTGTGGTTGGTAGAATAATAGTCGGGAGTCCGAGTCAGTAGTCGAGTTAGAGTCGGGAGTCTGTAGTGTGATTACGGCTTTAATTGCATCAAACTGACTCACCATGGCTTCTTTGCAGTTTAAAAACTTTACTCTATTTAAAGCCTTTATTAATATATCTGCCTCTTGTTCATTTGGTGGACAATATCTTAATTTAATAGCTTTCCGTTTTACTAGATCGTGTACGAATCTATACTTTACATCTATGTGCCTCGAGCGTCTATTAACGACTCCGTTCTTAATTAGTGCAATTGTACTCTGATTATGTTTAGTTCTAGGCAGATCTTGTTGTCTTGGAGTTCTTCCAGGAAAGTCTTCAAATATAGTAATTCCTTGCGGCTGCAATGTATTCAGCTTCAGTATTTGAAAGAGCTATGTTTGACTGTCTTCACGAGCACCAGCTTGTGGCTCCTCCTTCATAGAATATGACGAAGCCAGTCGTACTGTGTCTGGTCTGTGATTCTCCTGCAAAGTTAGCATCGAAATATCCCTGCAAAATATTCGGATTATCATTGCTATTGAATTGTAGGCCTTGATCTGTTGTGCCGTTCAAATATTTCAGAATGTGTTTTAATGAAAACATCATTAATGAAAACATCATTAATGTTTTCTTGTGTTTGATTTTCAATGAATTGACTGCAAAAGATATATCGGGCTTGGTTTTCGTCGAAAGATATAGCAGGTTTCCTATTGTTTCTCTATAGCCGAAAACTTCCTTTATCGGTGTTTTCCTTTCTTCATTTTTAATCAGTATTTTTACTGGTTTTGCATTTTCCATTCCGTACTGTTTTAGAATGTTCTTTGAATATTCTTCTTGCTTAACTCTAATCTTATCTTGATTTCTTGATATTTCTAATCCGACGTATATCTTTTAGGATCATAAACAATCGTCATTTGGAACTCTTTAAATTGTTTCATTATTTCTGGAATTTCTTTCATGTCAGCTCCGAGAAGTATTCCATCATCTACGTATATGCCGAGAATTAAATCTTTATCAGCATCTCTAAATATGCATTGTTCATTCTCTAGTGCTTTAAAGTTCTTTTCTTTCAAAAAATTGATAAATCGTATATTCCACCTGAGTGGGGCCTGTTTCAAGCTATATAGAGTCTTCTTCAGTTTGAAGATTTTTCCTCTACAGTCAAATTCCTTAGGAGGGTACATAAATACATTCTCTTCTAAACTGTCATAGAGGAATGCTGTTTTAATGTCAAATGTTACGATTTTGTATTTATTTATTGCTGTAAGTGCGATTAGACTTCTCAAAGCACTTGTGCTTATTGCTGGACTAAATGTTTCTTCGTAGTTGATTCCCTGTTCCTGTTCGCAGCCTCTGATGATAAGTGGCGCTTTATAGTGTCCTGCTTAATTTTAAATACCCATTTTCCGGTTAGAGGTATTTCCTTTTCTTTCAGTTTCTTCAGTTCAACTTCTTTCCATTTTTATCTGTCCGGTTCTGTTGTTGCTTCTCTATACGTTAACATGACGTAATCTGTAAAACGTTCTGGACGTTTTCTTTTTCTGATAGGTTTTCTTGTATTAATTTCTACAATTTCTTCATTTGTTGAGTTTTCCATGTTTTCTAGATCTTCATTTTCATGTATTTCTTTTCTTCTTCGTTCTCCATTTGTTGGAGTTCTTAGATCTTCTGCATCTTCTCACTCTTCATCGTCAGTGATTTCTTCTCTGTCTGATTCTTTTACAGATTGTATAAATTTTGCTTTAGTATACTTTGTTACATCTTCGTTCTTAATTTTATCCTCTTCTATTTTAGGTTCTTCAAATTTTACATCACGCGTGCAATTACTATTTTCTTCTCTTTATTTCAAAGCCTATATCCATTTGGTGCGTATCCTACAAATAACTGTTTCTTGTTTCTTTTTTCAAGTTTCTTAAATGGTCCTAAAATTTTGACATGTGCCACGCTTCCAAATATTTGCATCGTTTCAAAAGTTAGGTCATAAAGCCGAAAAATCGGCCAGTACTGGTTGTTTAGAGGTACTTTACTCTTGACGTGCGGTGCAGCGCTGGGATTAAAAAATTGTTTAAACATATTAAAATGGCCGGTGGTGTCACTAAAACTTATCAGAAACTATAGAACTCTTCGAGTACTAAAAAACGACGCAAAAAAATTAATTTTTTGAAACTTGAGGTGCTAGCTCTTTTTTTTAAATTTATTTAAAAATATTTACTGACCGGAATTCTTGTTTTAATCTATCAGGAACTCTAGTACTCTTCGAGTACTGTAAGATTCCGTATAAAAATCGACTCACGAATCTTGCGGTGCCACGCGAAGTTAGCACCGCATGTTTTTATTTTTTAAAATTTTTGGCCTAAATCAACGGTACTATTAATAAAACCTCAGGAACTGTAGAATTATTGGGGGTGCAAGCAGTACTGTTATTAAAATTTCCGATTTTTGAAGTTGAGGTGCTAACTTCACAGAGACCAATGATTCCATTTTGCTCTAGCTTCTTGAAATAGTTGGAGGAATAAGTTCGGGTGCACCGTAATAATGCTCGACACAACTGTTTACTGTAATTCACTTTTATCACTCAAACATTAAATGTCTTTTAAGTACGCAGATATCTAGTCGCATGTTTCCACGATGAGATTCTCCTTTTATACATTATGTCACGTTTCAACATATTGACACAATTCGATTATATTCACTTGACAACACGAAGAATTTATTAACCGGTTAATCAGTTAATCACTAACAATCACAAACGATTGATTATTCGGCGATTGAAAATCACACAAAACTTTAAAATACGTGTGTATGTCCGCACACAACACAACATGTGTTACGTTCAGCAAGCAGCTGACTAACTTTCTTGGTTATGAGTGCAATGAGTGCATTCACGCATCACTGAGGCGCTGTGTAATCTGCGCTCATTGTACTCATAACCAAGAAAATCAGTCAGCTACTTGCCGCATGTAAAAGCCCGATCTACAATTGTGTAAACGTAGAAGTAAGATTATGGGAGTAGTAGTAGCAGTAAATGTTGTACAACATATTAATCTATAATCGAGTAAAGATTCAACGAACTTTCATCTTCAAATTGAACATTGCTCACAACACTTTCTCCATCTTCTATATTCGTAATATAATATATTTGTAATATAATAAATTCGTCAAATAATATATCATAAAATAAATTCAATAAAAGATGAAAAGCTCACTTTGCGCTTCTTTTCATACGTCGAGACAAAAAGGACAATAACGATGCAGACACGTGACAGCACTCTGATTGGTTCGCTCTTACGTTTTACGCAGTCGTAGTCGTGAAAGATAAAGTTGAACCATCTTTTACAACACGCTTTACAACCGGAAATGGCAGGTTAAAACTTCGCTTTACAACATTTCACAACCCTTTACAACTATGTTTACGTAATTGTAGATTGGGCTTAAGGGCCTCTTTCACCAACTCCGATTAACTTAATCGGTCGATTAATCAAGATTAGATTAATGTTTGAAGGAATTCTGTTCTCGAGTGGCACCAAACTTTTCTCTCTTTAGAATTTCGTAGAGTAAACGTACGTACGTAACGTGTGAATTTCAAATTTTATCGTAGTTAATGCAGTCTCAATTTCAATCTCCGCAATTGATGGTTTACCACTAGGCTGGAGTGAACGTAATTTTTGCTTGTGTATCATCTTTAATTTTTCAAAGTTTCTGCAGAATTTAACTTGGGTATTTTATTTCATTACAAATATGAAAGTCAGAGGTATCTTGTTACTGGCGATTTTTTAATTCCCATGTACGAAAAAAAGTTACTATTGCGGTATAGCGCGGCAGGGTATTCCGCTGCAGATGCTTAAGGTCCTTATTAGATGCAGATACGCTTCTTTTCAAATCGACAATGCTCAAGGATTCTTCCTTTTATCTGATTAATTTACTTAGTGTAACTATTAATTTTTTGATCTAGTTTATATTGTTCATTCCGTCCTAGCGGCAAGCCATCATAGATATTGCAATTGAGATTGCGTTCTGTTATTCATTACGAGAAAATTAAAAATTTACGTTACAAATACTTTACAAAACCCTAAAAATTTAAATTACAGAGAAAAGTTTGGTCGGTGATTGAAAACAGAATCCCCTACGTTAACTTAAGGGGATGCTAAACCGATTACCGAACTTGCTCGAGGTCGATAGTACAGACTTTTTTAATTCCAAATTCGATAATAGTGGTGACATCTTTGATTCAGTTCTTACATTATAGTA